TCCGTCTCGGCGGGAGCCGCTCTCTCCACAGGAGCTGCGCGAGTGGTTTACTCGCCGCTGGAGGCGTGCTGCTGGAGCTGGAGCTTCTTCGACTGCTGAGGGTGCTAGTGCTGCCGGTCCCGGAGCTGCTGGGCCTGCGGGTCCTACTGGAGCTGGAGCTACTGCGCCTGGGGGTGCTGAGTCTGGAGCTGCTGAGCCTGGAGGTGCTGAGTCTGGAGCTGCTGAGCCTGGGGGTGCTACGTCTGGAGCTGCTAAGCCTGGGGGTGCTGATTCTGGTGCTGCTGAGCCTGGGGTTTCTCCTGCTGCTGCGGCTCGCCGGGAGCCCCTCTCTTCACAGGAGCTGCGCGAGTGGTTTGCTCGCCGCTGGAGGCGTGCTGCTGAAGCTGGAGCTTCTTCGACCGTCGAGGGTACTGGTGCTGCCGGTCCCGGAGCTGCTGGGCCTGCGGGTCCTCCTGGAGCTGGCGCTGCTGGTGTTGGTGCTGAGACTACTGCTGTCTGTCCTGGTGGTGGTTCTGCTACAGGTGCTGCTGGAGGTCCTGCCGCTGGAGGTGTTGGTGGTGCTGGTGCTGTCGCTGAGGGTGCTGGTGCTGTCCCTGCTGCGTCTGGAGCTGCTGCGCGGCCTCGGCCGTACTTCGTTCCGCTCCTCCAGCAGGTTCTTGGTCTTTCTCCTCCTGTAGAGGGTCCACAGCCGGTCCTGTCGCAGTCCCTACTGGAGCCTTCCTCTCCACTGCCTGCTCCCTCTCCTTACACTGGTCCTACTGGAGGTCTTGCTGAGCGTCGTGAGCTTGCATCTCGTCCCGCGTCGCCTGTTCGTGCTGCTCGCGCTAGTGGTCGCGGTTCGCGTCAGCGTCCTCCTCCTGTCCCTGGCACGCACCGGATGTCTCTGCGTCCGTCCACTGCTCCTTTGCGTGCCCCCTTGCCTTCTCCTCCTGAGTCCTCTCTTCCTGCGCTTGCTGACCCTGAGTCGGACTCTCATCGTGCTGCCAGTCCTAGTGTCACGCGTCTGCTTGCTACTGTCGTCACTGACCCCTCTTTTGAGTCCACTGCTGCGTCTGCCCTTGTCGCTGAGCTCGTCGACTTTGCTGCTCGCTGTCGTTTCGACTACGCTGCTAGTCTCGTTACTGAGTCTGCGTCTCTCTGTCCTCCGTCCGTCGGGGGTGAGTGTGCTCTTGGCACGGACGTCCTAGAGGACAGGCAGGAGCAGTTACAGTGTCTGGCTGCTGCTTCACCTCATCTCGCGTCTGTACTGCTTGCTTCTGAGGGAGACCCGGATGCACTAGACATCCCGACTCCGCGCTCTTACGCGGAGGCCGTAGAGGGTCCCTACTCCTCTCAGTGGCAGGCAGCTATGGATGCAGAGATGGCTTCCTGGAAGTCCACAGGCACCTACGTTGACGCAGTTCCCCCTCCAGGGGCGAACATCGTCAGTGGCATGTGGATCTTTAGGGTGAAGCGGCCGCCGGGCTCTCCACCTGTCTTCAAGGCGCGGTACGTTGCTCGTGGCTTCAGTCAACGGCAGAGAGTTGACTACTTTCAGACCTTCTCTCCCACCCCGAAGATGACCACTCTTCGGGTGCTGCTGCACATAGCCGCTCAGCGCGACTACGAGCTTCACTCTCTCGACTTCAGCACTGCGTTCCTGCAGGGTAGCCTGCACGAGGAGATCTGGCTGCGCCGTCCGCCTGGCTTCACTAGGACTTTCCCTCTTGGCACCCAGTGGAGCCTCCGACGGCCAGTCTACGGTCTCCGCCAGGCACCGCGTGAGTGGCACGACACACTGAGGACTACGCTTGCGGCTCTTGGGTTTGCTCCCTCTACTGCTGACCCGTCGCTGTTTCTACGCACCGACACTTCACTGCCGCCGTTCTACATCCTCGTGTACGTCGACGACTTGGCTTTTGCCACAGCGGACAATGCTGGACTCGCCTACGTGAAGTCCGAGCTGCTGAAGAGACACACGTGCACAGACCTGGGTGAACTGCGCAGCTACCTTGGCTTGCAGATCACTCGGGACAGAGCACGCCGCACCATTACCTTGACTCAGTCACACATGGTGCAGCAGGTCCTTCAGCGCTTCGGCTTCACGTACTCCTCGCCTCAGGTCACTCCTCTGTCTACTCGCCACTCGCTCTCAGCTCTACCTTCGGATGAGTCCGTAGAGTCGAGTGGCCCGTACCCAGAGCTTGTTGGCTGCCTCATGTACCTGATGACCTGCACACGACCTGACCTTGCATACCCTCTGAGCATTCTTGCACGCTATGTTGCTCCTGGGAGACACCGACCAGAGCACATGGCTGCAGCGAAGAGGGTATTGCGCTACCTGTGCAGTACGTCGGGCATGGGGCTAGTGCTTGGAGGGCGGAGTCCAGTGGTCCTTACAGGTCACGCGGACGCTTCTTGGGCTGACGACCAGGCTACGCAGCGGTCGTCACAGGGTTACACCTTCAGCCTTGGTTCCGGCTCTGTCTCGTGGCGGGCTACTCGTTCGTCTTCGGTTCTCAGCTCCAGTTGTGAGGCTGAGATCTACGCAGGGGCCATGGCTGCACAGGAGCTTAGCTGGCTCACCTACCTGCTGACTGACCTTGGAGAGCCGCCTCGTTCTCCTCCAGTGCTGTACGTAGACAACAAGGCCATGCTGGCCTTGTGTTGAGAGCAGCGTCTGGAGCACAGAACGAAGCACATTGCTCTTCGCTACTTCCTTGCTCGTGAGCTACAGCAGCGTGGACAGTTGCGGCTTGCGTACGTGGCCTCTGAGGCCAACACTGCTGATGTGTTCACCAAGGCACTTGCGCCTTGTGACCATCAGCGCTTCTGTACCCAGTTGGGTCTTGTGCCTGTCTTGCCTCACTTGCTCTCCTCTTGACTTTACTTGTACTGTGACATATATATACCTGCTCTTGCTTGTCTAGTTTTATATATATATGTCTGTACTCCTGCATGTGAACTGGCCTCTGGCCCTGCTCTTGTGCTCGGACTGTGTGGTGACTTTGTGATCCACCCTGAGCTTGCTTTGCTTTGCTTTGCTTGACTGGTCTTGTGACCCCTTGTTCTCGCCCACTTTGCCTATGGGGGTGTGTCAGAACATATCTATAGCTTATACTATTGTGTAGGCTGTAGTGGGGTATCCCATAGGGGGTACAATCCAGTTAGGGTTTCATATTTGTACTGCCTTCGTTCATAGTTCACACATTTCCTGTTATTCACTTTCACAAAGTCTTGAACCGACCCGAGCTGGCACCAAGTGCGCAGTTTCTGACGCGCTGAAATCGAAGCCGCGATCGGCTCGAAGCGCGCCCGAAGCCCTGCGCACCACGCATCCCACGTGCTGTATTGGGCGGTTTCGTAGAACGAACTCCAGGTAACAGCTGGACCCGAGGGCCCTTCCTCGCGCGACGGTGGCTCGTAGGCGCGTGGCGTCGTCACGATGACTCGCCACCAGTCCATGGTGGGGCCCCTGAGTAGTGAAACCGCATACCGGATCTTGGCGGCGTCCGACTCGACGTAGTTGGCGTCGAAAAACACGTTCATTGTGAAGACCCACGATTGAACTGTCGGGCCGCCGCGTTGGCTTGGGTCGAAGCAGGGCGGGCGTTGCGGCTTGAGTGGCATTGGGGCCATCATGGCGTTCTCGCCACTTGTCACCGCAAACTCCACGTGCCGACGGGCTTCTCGGGGCTCCCGTGGGCTTAATGCGCTCCTGCTCCCTCCCATGCCGGGCATCGGTTGGGCTGCGCCGTCACTGGCTGCGCCTGAGCGTTGTCCCGTGCTGTTGTGTTGCGTTGGTGTGCCGGATGAGATGACAATCGGCTCCTCCGAATGTGCAGAAACATTGGTCGGTGCGTGGGATGTCGTCGGTGCATTCACCGTTGACTGTTGGCGGGCGGAGTCACGTTCCGCCGTGAGCGTCGCGATTTCGAGCGCCGAATCCTCCAATTGTCGCACGAGACGATCGAGTTGCTCCTGCGTCAGCGTGGCGAGATTGAAATCGGCCATGGCGGGGGTGTCGGGCAAGCTCAGCGAGAGCCTCGGTCGTGGCCGTGCGTGCTTTCGAGAGAGCACTACGAGCGGCGGTGCTGTGACGCTGAGAGACGTCTACCCCCCCAAAAATTGAGATAGTGGGAAGCGAAGGTGTGGATGCGGTCCGAGACGAGATCGTAGGCTCTGAATACCAAGTGTTACGAGTGCAATTGAGTGAACGAACGAGAGTTGCACTATCGAAGCAAAAGTACAATGAGCGAAGGCATGAGCGAACATTATATAGCGAAACTACAGTGGTAACGGTAATGGTCGCGCGACGAGCCTGGGATTGAGGTTGGGAAAGTGTCGAAGCGTAGGCCCGGAGCGCGGGTTACCAGCCGAGCCGTGAGGTCGGGATGCGATGTGCGAAAAAGGGCGGGATGATGAATGATGCGATGGTCGCGAGTGGTAACGGTGCTGACTGAGGTGCTACAGTGTTGTACGCGCTGAGCAGGGACGCGAAGTAAGGAAAAGGGAATTTCCTTACACATGCCTTTGCTCATTGTACTCTTGCTTCGATAGTGCAATTCTCGTTCGATCAGTCAATTGCACTCGTAACACTACAGAACGTGAACAGGTTGGAGATCTTACACGCCCTTAGGCTAGGCGAGCCTAATTGTGTTCGCTCTTCCGCCATGGCTCAACGCGGCCCCAGATAAGCCTCCCGAACGGCCTATTCGTTTTCCGTTCTCGCGTGACGGATACCAGTACTGCCTATTGCCTTCACAATTGCATTGCGAAGCGCTCTCACTACTGTACTGCGAATTGCTCGCGCGACTGTACTGCGAATTGCTCTCGCGACTGTACTGCGAATTGCTCTCAGGACTGCATTGCGGCGAACCGCGGCCCATGGCCACGGAATCAATCTTCGTCGCGCCACCACACACCTCCGCGTCGCCCATCCCTCCGTCCCACCGCGCCAACGATCTCGTTCATTCCCCCCTCACCCGTAGTCGCGTGACGTGCCGTCGAGACGCCTCAGCATGGCACGAGCTCCCTCGTTGCACGCGTATGTTTTCGTCCGACAGCTGTCTCTTCGCCATTGGCCAGTCCGTTACTCCGTCGGTAGCGCTAGGAAAACATCAAGACGTGGATATTCGTTCGCGTTTTAGATTGCTCCGCTACAATGAATTCCCGTCTCTGAAAGGCTCGCCTTACACCGCGCCATTCATGCAGCGAAGAGGCTGTTTATTTGCAAGCGGGGCCGTTAACAGCAGCACAGGGCGTGGCTCGGTCAAATGCAGGGCAACCAACGAAAACGGGACTGACACAAACGGGGATAGCCTGGTGCCATCAGGGAGAGTGTCACCCTCACCACCAGCATCTTCGGTATCATCATCACAGTCATCATTACTGTCATCTCCTTACTGGTCAGAGTCGGATTTAGATGACGTGTCGCCAGCGTGTCCTGTTCCGGATTTCACGGGACTGGGCGGGGAGATTCGTCTCCTTCGGCTTCAGGAGCTGTCCGGTTTCCCGGCAGGTGCAGCTTCTGGGCGGCCGCTGCTGGTGTATCTGCCAGGAATGGACGGCACCGGGCAGTGCCTGCAGCCCCAAATCAAATCTCTGACACGTGCTGGGTACGTGTGTGTGTTACTGTTAGGTGTGTGATTGGATGGGAGTGTGTTAGGTGGTGTGTGAGTTCTGAACACGCAGCAAAGCTGGGTGCCTTCAATCATCTTGCACGTTGGATTCGTCTGCCAGCTGGCTGGCCTGTAGGATGGCTGCTTGCTGCTTCCTCTTTCCCGCCCCTTGATCCCCTCCCCCCTCCCCTGTATGCCCGCCTTCCGCCATCCAGCTTTCACATCCGCGCCTCTACATCCCCACCCCACCCACCACTCCACGCGACATGAGTACATTCCTACTAGCTTTCTGAGGCGCCTCGAAAGTCATTCCCACCACCGACTGCTCCACGCAACACGAGTACATTCCTATTAGCTTTCCTTGCCTCCCCCTCTCCCCTTCTTCCCCCCCCAACCATGCTCTTCCCCTCCCCCCCCAGCTTCGACATCCGCACCCTCTACATCCCCATGAGTGACTGCTCCATGTGGCATGAGTAAATTCCTATTTTCTTCCCGCTCCACCCCCCCCCCTCCCCCTCACTCTCCCCATCCACTTCTTCTCCCCCAATCGTGCTCTTCCCCTCCCCCCCAGCTTCGACATCCGCGCCCTCTACATCCCCATGTCCGACCGCTCCACGTGGCGGCAGCTGGTTCGCCGAGTCGCACTGCTCATACAGCAGGCAACCAATGAGGAGGACGCCGAGGAGCGGGGGGCCAGTGGGGACAGAAGGGGCAGGGAGGCAGCACGGGAGGGAGCGCGGGAGGTGACGGTGCTGGCGGAGTCGTTTGGGGCGTGCCTGGCTCTGCGCATTGCTGCTGCCAACCCCGGCCTGCTGCACCGCCTCGTGCTCGTGAGTGAGATGCCTTTCCTCCTCCGCTGCCTGCCTTTCCTCCTCCGCTGCCTGCCTTTCCTCCTCCGCTGCCTGCCTTTCCTCCTCCGCTGCCTGCCTTTACTCCTCCGCTGCCTGCCTTTCCTCCTCCGCTGCCTGCCTTTCCTCCTCCGCTGCCTGCCTTTCCTCCTCCGCTGCCTGCCTTTCCTCCTCCGCTGCCTGCCTTTCCTCCTCCGCTGCCTGCCTTTCCTCCTCCGCTGCCTGCCTTTACTCCTCCGCTGCCTGCCTTTCCTCCTCCGCTGCCTGCCTTTCCTCCTCCGCTGCCTGCCTTTCCTCCTCCGCTGCCTGCCTTTCCTCCTCCGCTGCCTGCCTTTCCTCCTCCGCTGCCTGCCTTTCCTCCTCCGCTGCCTGCCTTTACTCCTCCGCTGCCTGCCTTTCCTCCTCCTCTGCCTGCCTTTCCTCCTCCGCTGCCTGCCTTTCCTCCTCCGCTGCCTGCCTTTCCTCCTCCGCTGCCTGCCTTTCCTCCTCCGCTGCCTGCCTTTCCTCCTCCGCTGCCTGCCTTTCCTCCTCCGCTGCCTGCCTTTACTCCTCCGCTGCCTGCCTTTCCTCCTCCGCTGCCTGCCTTTCCTCCTCCGCTGCCTGCCTTTCCTCCTCCGCTGCCTGCCTTTCCTCCTCCGCTGCCTGCCTTTCCTCCTCCGCTGCCTGCCTTTCCTCCTCCGCTGCCTGCCTTTACTCCTCCGCTGCCTGCCTTTCCTCCTCCGCTGCCTGCCTTTCCTCCTCCGCTGCCTGCCTTTCCTCCTCCGCTGCCTGCCTTTCCTCCTCCGCTGCCTGCCTTTCCTCCTCCGCTGCCTGCCTTTCCTCCTCCGCTGCCTGCCTTTACTCCTCCGCTGCCTGCCTTTCCTCCTCCGCTGCCTGCCTTTCCTCCTCCGCTGCCTGCCTTTCCTCCTCCGCTGCCTGCCTTTCCTCCTCCGCTGCCTGCCTTTCCTCCTCCGCTGCCTGCCTTTCCTCCTCCGCTGCCTGCCTTTACTCCTCCGCTGCCTGCCTTTCCTCCTCCTCTGCCTGCCTTTCCTCCTCCGCTGCCTGCCTTTCCTCCTCCGCTGCCTGCCTTTCCTCCTCCGCTGCCTGCCTTTCCTCCTCCGCTGCCTGCCTTTCCTCCTCCGCTGCCTGCCTTTCCTCCTCCGCTGCCTGCCTTTACTCCTCCGCTGCCTGCCTTTCCTCCTCCGCTGCCTGCCTTTCCTCCTCCGCTGCCTGCCTTTCCTCCTCCGCTGCCTGCCTTTCCTCCTCCGCTGCCTGCCTTTCCTCCTCCGCTGCCTGCCTTTCCTCCTCCGCTGCCTGCCTTTACTCCTCCGCTGCCTGCCTTTCCTCCTCCGCTGCCTGCCTTTCCTCCTCCGCTGCCTGCCTTTCCTCCTCCGCTGCCTGCCTTTCCTCCTCCGCTGCCTGCCTTTCCTCCTCCGCTGCCTGCCTTTCCTCCTCCGCTGCCTGCCTTTCCTCCTCCGCTGCCTGCCTTTACTCCTCCGCTGCCTGCCTTTCCTCCTCCGCTGCCTGCCTTTCCTCCTCCGCTGCCTGCCTTTCCTCCTCCGCTGCCTGCCTTTCCTCCTCCGCTGCCTGCCTTTCCTCCTCCGCTGCCTGCCTTTCCTCCTCCGCTGCCTGCCTTTACTCCTCCGCTGCCTGCCTTTCCTCCTCCGCTGCCTGCCCCACGCGTTTTGGTAGTTTCGATGCTCCTTTCCCATCTGGCTCTATTTCCTCGCACCTTCGTCCGCTGCCCCTGTATCCGCTGCCCCTGTGTGAGTGACTGTGTCTGCTCTTCCGGTTCCCAGCGGGTCTTTTTGCTAACATTATGCATGTTGGGCCGGTTTTTGAGAATTCTCAAAATTCTGCTGCCCCTGTCTGAGTGACTGTGTCTGTTCTTCCAGTTCCCAGTGGGTCTCCATTCTAGCATCATGCATGCCGGGCCGGTCGCACACCCGCCACCATCCCTCTCATCTCCCTTCTTCCTCCCCCTTTTGCCCCCTTCCTTCTTTGGCCGCTTCCCCTTTTCCCCCTTGCGCCCTTGTCCCCTTCCCCCGTGCCCCTTCGCCCCTTGCACACCACTGATGCCATGCCACTCATCACCATGCCGTGCCACTCATCACCATGCCGTGCCACTCATCACCATGCCGTGCCAAGCAGATCAACCCAGCAACGGCCTTCCCCACCAACAACCCGCTCGTCAGCCTCTGTGTTGCCACGGGCCTGCTTGCCTTCTTCCCGCCGCCGCTCTACGAATTCGCCCAGGTCACATCCAGTCTCCGCGCCCTTCATTCCCTCTCTCCTGCATGCTCTTATCACTTGCTCTCCTTGCTCCCTAATGCGTTAAAGATTCTCCTCCCCACTTCGTTTCCTCCCCACTTCGTTTCCGACCTCCACAAACACACAAAGCAAAGCCCACAACACCGAATTATGCAACCTCAGAATTCTCGTTCTGTGTGCCTGCCTGCCCTCACTTCTTCAATGCACCCTTCCCCAGACGGTTTTTTTCCAACGAAATCCACTCTTGTGCAAATCATCCTGTGTGCCTGCCTGCCCGTCATGCCATGCCAGGACTTTTGCGGTGCCCCAGAAGGCGTTTATCTGACAAAATTCTCATTCCGTGTGCCTGCCTGCCCTCACATGCCAGGACGTGGCGCTGCCTCTGCTGGTGAAGCGAAGCCGGGTCCAACCTGCTGCAGCAGCAGCCGGCACTAGCGTGGGAGGAGGGGAGGCGTCACTGCGCGTGCTGTCTCCCATCGACTACGTGCCGGCGGCGTGTGCGTCGTGGCGGCTCTCTCTGCTGAACGACCAGTCTGGGCTGTCTGATGCCGTGCTGCGCTCCATCCACGCGCCCACCCTGCTGGTAGGAGGACTCTTGACCATGGTAGAGTAGGGTGTGGCAGCAGGGAGTGAGTGGTCCACTTTAGAGCTAAGTTGCAATAAACGCTCAGGCCTGTTTGCGTTTATCGGATATCCGCTTGCGTATACACGCAACACGCTGTATGCAAGCGAATCCGCTATACGCTCGGCAAATTTGTTTTGGGGCAGCCCGGGCGGAAAAAAAATCGAACATACGGAAAAATGCGGAATTTCACGACGTGCGTTTTGCCGAAGGCGAATTGCACGAACGTGACTTGTCCAATTGTGGACGTGGCTTTTTGCAGAACGCGAATTGCACATACGTGACTTGTCCAATCGCGGACGTTGGTTCAACCCACGTAGTCGAGATTGGTTGTGTCAATTTGTCAAGTCGCGTCTTCACGTACACACTTTGTGCGCTCTGTTTGTTACCGCATTGAATCCCCTCCCATCTACTCACTCCAACCAAATGTCCCAATGTTCCCTTCTCTCGTTGTGCTACTTAGTGGATTGCAAGCAACTACGCAATTCATCAGTTCCCCGTCTCTTTCGTAATGTCTAGCCCGCCATGCACACCGCCATCCGTTCAGACAGTGCAGAGTTCTCGGATTGTTCGACCTGAGGGTAGGGATTACCTTCCTGACATGCCGGAACACGCTGTCTTCAAACATTTCAGCCTCATTGTGTGGGAACAAGGCAAAGCACAGCTGTACGAGTGTAAGTACTGCTTCAATTTTTTCGCCGGTGCAGCCATTCGTTGCGCGCAGCATCTGAGCTCGTGGAAGGGAATGAAGCGTCGCGAGGTGACGCTTTGCAAGGAGGCACTGCAAGACGTACGCAACGAGATGCGCACCAAATATGAAAAGATGGCTGCCGCGATCGAGGAAAAGCGCCGAGCAACATCTGCTGCAGTTGCGGCAGTACAGGCTGGCGGAAGGAAGCGGCGCATAACCGACTACTTGGAGGGAGATGCCTCTGCGGCTAAGCGGGATGCTCACAAGGGCCTTGCGCTGATGTTTGCGGCCTGCAGAATTCCGGAGGTCACCATGGACCACCCGCTGTTCATCAACGCCATGTTGCTCGTCAACCACGCCGGCAACGGCTACGTCCCCCCCAGGAGGACTTTCATTGGCGGGGCTGGACTGGTCGCTGTCCGCAAAGGGATTGAGCAGGGGTTGGTGGGGATTAAATCGAGCTGGAAGAAGACGGGGGTAACAATTGCGTCCGACATGATGACGGACAAATGTGGGAGGGCGCAAGCGAACGTGCTTCTGATCAACGACTCCGGCGCCGTTTTCAGGGAGGCGATCGACTGCGGTATGGAGCGGAAGACGGGGGGATACATAGTGGGGATTCTGCAGCCGGTGGTGGAGGAGGTAGGACCAGAAAATGCCGTCGCGTTTTGTATGGATGGGGGGTCGAACTATGCCGTGGCTGTCCAGGAGCTGATTGCCAAGTGGCCCCACATTTAGCAGGTCCCTTGTGCCACGCATGTGATGGATCTCCTCCTGGAGGACGTGGGAAAGATGGGGTGGGCAAAAGGGGTGGTGGATCGGACTGGGGAGATGAGTTCGTTCGTTCGCAACCATCATTGGACGCGGGCTTACCCGAGGATCAAGGAGTTGGTGGAGGGGAAGGTGCTGCAGCCGCTGAAGCCAGCGGGAACACGGTTCGGGACACAATACATTGTTGTGTCCCGCCTTTGTCAGTTGCGTAGCACCCTCAACGCGATGGTGCTTACCGACAGGTGGAAGGAGTGGGCCTCGGGGTCGCGGAAGGAAACTGCCGAGGCCTTTGCTGCACGGGTCCTCGATGACGCATGGTGGCGGACGGCAGAATTCTTCTGCAAGCTGATGCAACTGCCCTACAAGGCGATGCGGCAGACTGTCGCAGATGCCAATGGGATGATGGGCCGGCTCTACGATGTAATGCTGCAGCTTACCGAGGATGTCAACAACATCCTGGACGAGGACGAGCAGCAGCTGAGTAGCGCGGACAAGGAAAAGATCCGCAACATCATCAAGGACCGCTGGGATAACAACCTCGCCTGCGCCATGCACGTTGCTGGCCGAATCCTCAACCCCGCCAACCAGGAGGAGGATATCTTTGGCAGCGACGCCGAATGCACCCGGGTTTTCAAGGCGTTAATCAACCAGCACGTGGAGTTCCTCATCGGCCACGACGGGAAGGGGAGGGATGAGGGTCCAGATTACTTGCTTGCCTTGGGTGACGGGCTGAGGGCTTTCTTGGACATGAAAGGCAGTTTTGGGATGCCGGAGGCGCTTGCACAGAGGGAGAAGGTGAAGGCGGGTAAGTACAGCATGGTGAAGTGGTGGCAGTGGAACGGCACAGATGCACCTCACCTGATGCGCTTCGCCGTGAGGGTGCTATCTCAGCCTGTATCGACATCCCCTTGTGAGCGTGGGTGGGGAACTTGGGATGCTGTCCACACAGCCCGCCGGAACCGCCTCGGATCTGCAAAGTGCCAGGACCTGGTTTTTGTTGGGCACAATTGGAATGTTGTGCGCAACTGGCACCCGCGCGCAGATGTAATGCCGAAGGTTGTGCCAGGGATTGGGGACGAGCCTCCTATTCCTGAGGGGTACAACGGGTTGGATGAGACGGAGGTGGAGGAGGAGGAAGGCGAGGATGACGTCCTGGAGGACGAGTACGCTTAGAACTAGGGTGGCAGGAGAGTATTAGTGACATGTGTGTGTGTATGGTGTCGTGATATTATTATGGGGAAAAAAAACTATGTTGCAAAACCCCCAAAATGCCTCACCCCCCCCCCCCCCCCCCCCAAACATCCCCAAGTGGTCTTTTTTGCCCTGCCTGGGAATTTTTTTTCCCTGCCCGGAAAAGCGTATTCCAAAGTCGACCCCCAAGCGGATAGCGTGCATACGCTAGCGTATATACGATAAGCGTATATACGCTATAAGCGTATATTGCAACTTAGCTTTAGAGGCGCCTATATCAGCGGCTGTCCCTGCTGAACGACCAGTCTGGGCTGTCAGATGCCGTGCTGCACTCCATCCATGCGCCCACCCTGCTGGTACGCCGCTGTGTTTGAGTCGACTTAAAGATGAAAATAAGTCAAGCATTGAAACGACTCAAAATCTGAAGTCGGCTCAACGACCAGTATGGGCTGTCTGATGCTGTGCAGCCGTGCTGCGCTCCATCCCCACCCCACGCCCATTGACTTTTGACGTCTCAAAAGTCCCCACCCCACGCCCACCTTGCTGGTACCACCCTGCTGCGTGCTTCAGATTGAATCGACTCAGAGATTGAGTTGAGTTAACCAATAGCCAACTAGGCCTGTGCTGACTGTCATCCCCACTGCCTATCTTTCCCATGTGGAGTTTTCAAATTGGTTCTATTGAACCAGCCGCAAACCGGCTTTTGAAAATACTTGAGAATACTAAAAAAACTAATTCCGCTCAACCAGCTGCAAGCAGGTACGGGCAATCTAGCTGGTAAGAATGTGTCGCGGGAGCAACTTGAAGTTCTAACGTGGTAGAGGGATGAGCAAGGGGCGGACCCACAGTAAAGCAGAAAGTCATGAGTGGCTGAGGTGCGCTTGCTTGCGTTGCGTTGCGTCCAGGAGGGTTATTGCCGCACTCATCCCTCCGCCCCTCCACACCTCCATGCGTCTATTCCTATCTTACTCCCCTGCCTTGAGGTGGTTTTTGAGGCGCCTCAAAAACCACCTCTGCCCCTCCACCACACCTCCATTCGTCTATTCCTATCTTACTCCCCTGTCATGCCACCAGGTGGCCTCATCAAAGGACAGGGTGCTGCCGGCAGTGGCAGAGACAGGCCGACTGCTCAACCTGCTGCCAAACAGCAAACGAGTCATCCTCCCCACTAGGTAATTAATTTTCTTCAGTAAGTAACCCTCCCCACCAGGTAACCCTCCCCACCAGGTAACCCTCCCCACCAGGTAACCCTCCCCACTAGGTAACCCTCCCCTCCAGGTAATCCTCTCCACCAGGTAACCCTCCCCTCCAATAGTGCCCCTTTCTCGCCTCTTTCTCCACCCCTTGCTCTTCTCCATCTACTGCAGTGCTGAAGCAGGCTGAGAGGATCGCTGCTGCCAGCCCTCCTCTGATCCTCCTCCTCCTCTCCCCCCCTCCCCCTCTCCCCCTCTCCCCCTCTCCCCCTCCCCCTCTCCCCCTCTCCCCCTCTTCCCCTCCCCCACTCCCCCGAATCCCATGGCAGCGGCCTCACAGTGTTGCTGGAGGCTGATGTGTTGTAATTTCATATTTTATACAACATGCATAGGCTAGAAGTGTAGCACATTTATAAATTGGGGGGTTGCTTAGTGTACCCTCCAACCACATTTTGTGGTTGGTTGGGATTGGTCCTTAGCTCAACCAATCCCAACCAACACACATTTGTGGTTGCTTGGGCCACAAGCAAGCTCACCCATTGGCCAACTTATTGGCCAATAGGGTAAGCTTCCCTCTCATCTCTCTCTTGCTCATTGTTTGTACTAAAGGGCCTCTTGGCTCATTATGTAATGCATCAATTCTCTCTCTTCTAACATGGTATCAGAGCTAATGGCTCACGCCTTCCTCCCTCGGTCCTTAGGCCACCCTCTCCTCCCCGTTCCTCAGATCTAGCCCCACCCACGGAGCTGCCCTCCCGCCACGCGCCCTTTAGGCGCTGTTCTCCCTCCCCGTGCGCCCCCTAAGGCGCTGCCCTCCAAGGCACGTCCAGATCTGCAACTCCAGCGCCCAGATCTGCACTCCCCGCGCTCAGATCTGCAACTCCAGCGCCCAGATCTGCACTCCCCGCGCTCAGATCTGCAACTCCAGCGCCCAGATCTGCACTCCCCGCGCTCAGATCTGCAACTCCAACGCCCAGATCTGCACTCCCCGCGCTCAGATCTGCAACTCCAGCGCCCAGATCTGCACTCCCCGCGCTCAGATCTGCATCTCCAGCGCCCAGATCTGCACTCCCTGCGACCAGATCTACTCCTCCCGCGCCTAGATCTGATCATTCCGCGCCCTAATCTGGATTCCGCGCCACCAGATCTCCTCCTCCCGCGCCCAGATCTGAACATTTCGCACCCAGATCTGCACTCCGCGCGCCCAGATCTGTACCCCGCCCGCCCAGATCTGCACTCCGCGCGCCCAGATCTGCACTCCGCCCGCCTAGATCTGCACTCCGCGCGCCCAGATCTGCACTTCGCCCGCCCAGATCTGCCCTCCGCGCGCCCAGATCTGCCCTCCGCCCGCCCAGATCTGCACTCCGCGCGACCAGATCTGCATCTCCCGCGCTGAAATCTGACCATTTCGCGCCCATCTCTGCACGTCCCGCTCGTTTGCCGCGGGCTGTCCCGCGTGCGTTTGCCACGGGCTTCCCAGTCGCGCGGATCTGCCGCACGGCTGCCCTCCTCCTCTCCCTCCCACCCCCCCCCGCAGCATCGCCTTCCCCCCCCCCCCCCTCTCTCCCTTCCTCCTCCCATTATACCTGCAGCAGCATCATCAGCGGCATCTCGACGGCACCACCAGCAGCACCCTCCCCCCTTTCCTCCCCCATAGCATCGCCCTCCTCCTCCACCCAACCCACCCTCCGCTCCTCCCTTCCTCCTCCCATCCTACAAGCAGCAGCACCAGCAGCGGCACCACCAGCAGCACCCTTCCCCCTTGCCTCCCCCATAGCATCGCCCTCCTCCTCCACCGTCCTCCTCCTCCCATCCTACCTGCAGCAGCACCAGCAGCAGCACCTGCAGTGGCACCACGAGCAGCACCCTCCCCCCTTGCATCCCCCATAGCATCGCCCTCCTCCTCCACCTTCCCCACCCTCCGCTCCTCCCTTTCTCCTCCTCCCATCCTACCCGCAGCAGCATCCGCAACGGCACCAGCTGCAGAACCAGCAGCGGCATGGGCAGCAGGGCCAGCAGCAGCACTGACAACGGTACCCTCGCACCATCCTCCTCTTGCCCTAGCCTCTGCCTACCCTCATCTCTATGGCATCGTCGTCCGATTCTTCCGTCGACCTTGCCACTGTTGACGCACTCGAGTTGCTGCCTGACAACTCTGCTGCTAATTGGCACTCTTATGCTCATTCCGTCGAGGTGCTCCTCTCCTCTATTGTGGTCAGCGGCTACAACCTTCGCTCGGTTGTCTTTCAGGAAGGTGGTGGACTTCAGCCCGTGGCCCCCACCGCTCCTACTGGACATGCCCCTGCCCACCTTGGCACCGAGCCCTCTCCCCTCGGTGATCCTCCCACCTTTGCGCCGAATGTCAACGACCCGCAGAGCTCGGAAACCGCCATTCGCACCTACCGCACCAATCTCCAAGAGCACCTGCGCCTGCAATTGCGCTACGAGGACAACAAGCGCATTTATGACGACGCCGCTGCCCGCTACAACAAGTACCAGGAGGACCTGGACACCTACACTACAGAACTTGCAGACTACACCACGAAAATTACTGCCTGGCGGGTTGCTGATTGACGCGCGCTTGCCATTCTTCTCGCCACCATCCCCTCCTCCCTCAAACGCGAGCTCTCACCTACCTCCTCCTCCCACCTGCGGCGATTGCTGGTCGACCTTTTCGATCGGCAGGATGTTACCACTCTTTACGCCCTTATCAAGGAGTTTGGAACTCTCTCCATGGATTCCACTTCTGGCGCAGCTGCTTTCACTCGCCGTGTCTTAGACCTTGCTCGGCGCCTTGCAGCACTCGATGTGGTGTACCCGGACACCGTCATTTGCTGCCACCTCCTCGAGGGCCTCACACCTGCCTTCGACGCTCACAAGCTTGCTTACATGCAGCTTATCTCCAAGCACCACACCCCTGCCGAAGTCACTGAGTGGATTATCACCACCGAAGCTGAGATCCTTTGACACTCTTCCTCTTCAGTTGCAGCAGCCCAGTCGCGCAGCAGTCGGGGTGGACGTGGCGGTGGGCGTGGGGGTGGGCGTGGTGGTGGGCGTGGGGGTGGACGAGGCGGATCCGCGGGTCACGGCGGCCCGAGTAGCGGTAGTGCGGGTCGTGGTGCAGCAGCTGCCTTTCCTCCCTGTCAGCACCTGCCTTGCTACGGTCCCACTCAGGGACAGCGCTACGGCCAAACCACTCATGCCACTGAGACGTGCTTCAAGGCACTCAGTGATGAGTGGTTTGCCCGTGGCAACACCGGCACCCCTCCTCGCTGGTCCGTCATCAACCCTCGCCCCACTCCCCTTGAGGTCCGTTCCTCTCCCCTCTATGAACCTTCCTCCACCCAGACCCATGAGGCTCTCGCCCCTCCCCAGCAGCAGCAGCAGCAGCCCGGGAGTCAGCAGCAGGGGTTACAGCAGTTTGGGCAGCAGCTTCTCCTTTCTCAGCTCCAGCAGCAGCTCGACCTACAGCCGCAGCTGCCCCTCCTCCCTCCTCCCATTTCCCAGCAGCAGCCCTTCCCTACCTGGACTGCTGGGAGTGCTGCCTTTGCAGCCCATCTCTCGGGTGCATCCCCGGCGCCGTCTGCAGGTGGCAGTGTGATCGCTTTCCCTTCCTCTGGTTTTGTTGGTTTATTAGGTCAACCTGAATCTGTTGCATTTCCCATGTACCCTTCTTCTGCTAATGAAACTTCGTTCCAGTACTCTGCCTCACTTTCCTCCACCATTGACTTCGTTCTGGACAGTGGAGCCACTGACAGTGTCCTTCGTGACGCTGGTACACTGCGCCCTCTCCCCACACCAACCTCCCTCCTCGGCGCTGATAGCAGTTTTTCCATCCCTTGTCACAACACCTCCACCCTTCCCTGTCCTCTCTTTCCCTTAGGTATTGTCACCGGTCTCCACATTCCCTCCCTTCGTACTTACCTCCTCTACCAAAGGTCCCTCCAACAAGCCATGATCACCACTCTCATCCCAGGTGGTGCTAACCATTGTGACCTATACCAAACCTCCACAGGTCGTTTTCTCGCCCGTATTCCCTATTGTCCCCGCTCCCGTCTATACACCCTTCGGGTTCCCCGCCCCCTCACCTTCCAAGTTGCCTCCCCCCCCCTCCTTCCCCCCCCCCCCCCCTCCCCTCCCTCCCACTAACCCACCCCTACCCCCCCGCCCTCCTGACTCTAACTGTTCCTGTCGCTCCCTCTCCCACCCCACCATCCTCCTCCATCACAGGCTAGGCCACCCCAACTTTGCTACTCTGCGCTCCTCTGTCTCCTCCGGTCTCCTCCACGGTCTCCCCTGCTCCCTCCCTCCCCTCCCCAAATCCCCTGCACCCCCCTGCACCGTCTGCGTTCAGAGCAAGCTCAAGCAGCATCTGCACCGGAACTCCCCCTCCGCTGTTGCGCAGCCACTTGATCTTGTTCACATGGACATGTGGGGCCCTAATCCCTCTCCCACTCGCCAAGGCCATCGCTACCTTCTCGTGCTTGTTGATGATCACAGTCGGTACTCGTCCGTCTCTCTCCTTCGGACGAAGGCGGATGCCCTGGCTGCAATCATCGCCTGGCTCGAGCGGGCAAACACCCATTTTTGGCGCCCTGTTGGCCGCCTTCACTCTGATGGAGGTGGTGAGTTCCTTAACAACCAAGTCTCCTCCTATTGTCAGTCTCGTGGCATCCTTCAGACTTACACTCTCCCTCACTCCCCATAGCAGAACGGCGTGGCTGAGAGTCGTGTTCGAGAGATCACCAAAACAGCCCGGTGTCTGCTTGTCCACGCTTCCTGCCCCCCTTCTCTTTGGGGCTATGCCCTCCTTCATGCCACCCTCCTTACTAACCTTTACCCTCACCCCCTTCTCCCCTCCATCACCCCCACTGAGCTGTGGACGAAAGACAAGCCTGATGCCTCATCACTTCGTGTCTGGGGCTCTAAGGCACATGTCCTCATTCACCCCTCTGACCGCTCCCGTTCCATGGGAAAGCTTGCCCCTCTTACCCTTCCTTGCATCTTCCTTGGTCATAATCCCTCCTCCCCTGACTACCTTTTCCTCCACCCCCCATCCGGTCGTCTAATCCGCAGCCGGGATGTGGTGTTTGACGAGTCCACTCCCTACTACTCCTCTCCTACATCTACTGACCCACTCCCCCCTCTCACCCGTCCCCTTGTCTGGTCTGACACCACCCCTCCCCCACTACTCCCTCCTCCCCCCATCCTCCCCCCCCCCCCCCCCCCCCCTCCGCCGTCCCAGTCCCACGGTACCCCTCCCTCATCTGGTGACATCTTTGACCCTGAACCTTTATCTTCTCCTGTCTCCCCCACTCACTCCTCTCCTAGTGCCCCCCCTCCCCCCCCTTCCTCTCCCTCGCCATCGACCCGTCCTCCCCCTTCCCGCACCATACTCACCCGGTATCCCCACACCAGGTCACATGACAGCATCCTTGGTGCACCGCCTCCCATTACCCTCTCCACCACTACCCTCCCCCCTCTCTCCCCCCTCCTTCGTCACTTCTTCCAGGCTGTCTTGCATCAAGTCCCTCATGCAACAGCCCCTTCAGCCACCTCCTCTCCAGCAGCGGCACCAGCAGGGGCTTCAGCAGCGGCACAAGCAGCGGCCCTAGCGGCGGCTCCAGCAGCTGCAGCAGCAGCGGGACCAGCAGCGGCAGCAGCGGCGGGGTCAGCAGCGGCAACAGCAGCAGCACCAGCAGCCGCAGCAGCAGCACCAGCAGCCGCAGCAGCAGCACCAGCAGCCGCAGCAGCAGCCGGACCAGCAGCAGCACCAGCAACAGTACCAGCAGCGGCACCAGCAGCGGCACCAGCAGTGGCACCAGCAGCAGTACCAGCTAGGGATGAGCAAAGGGCGAACACGAACATGTTCGTCTTCGCCCCTTGTCGAACACCCTCTTTTGCCGAACTGAACAGTGTTCGGTTCGACGAACAGTTTAGGAAAAAACAGGTGTTCGCTGTTCGGCTGTGGAGGCGTGTTCGTGCGAACCTCGAACACGTTTGTGTTCGTCGCGGGCAAATTTCAGCAGCGGCCCGAACACGAACGTGTTCGGGCGAACATCGAACACTGTTCGGCGAACGATTTGAGCTTAAAAACAAAACCTGTTCGGTTCGCCTCGAACGTGTTCGAGGCGAACCGAACACGTGTTCGCCACCTTGCTCATCCCTAGTACCAGCAGCGGCACCGGCAGCGACTCCACCAGTAGCACCAGCAGCGGCACCAGCAGTCATCCGCGCCTTCCACACCTCCCTCTCTGAGGACTCCCATGAGGAGTTCCTTGACCTCCACCTTTATGACCCCTCGCTTCTACCCATCACGTTCGACCTCTTCGGCACACCTGTCTTCGCCTTCTCCTCTGCTCCCTCCATTTTCGTTCCTACCACGTACGAGGAGGCAATGGCGTGCCTTGACGCTCCGCTATGGCTCGCCGCCATCATCAAGGAGTTGGAGGCATTTATCGGCAACTCCTCTTTAATCGATGTGCCTCGCCTTCCCGCTCCTACGAACGTGGTGAAAGGAAAGTGGGTGTTTCGCGTCAAGGAGCTACCAGGGGAGCCGCTCGTCTATAAGGCTCGTTACTGCGCCAAGGGGTTCACGCAGCGGTATGGTTTTGACTTCTTCGATACCTTCTCCCCTACTACTAAGCCTGCTACTGTTCGTGCCGTGCTTGACCTCGCCGCTCGCCTCAATATGGAGATCCACTCGATGGACGTTTCTAACGCCTTCCAACAAGGCGTCCTCCGCGAGCTTATCTACATGGAGCGTCCAGCCTGCTTTCACCTTCCCTTCCCAGCAGACTCTGTCTGGCAATTGCGTCGACCTGTGTATGGGCTCCAACAGGCCCCTAGGGAGTGGCATGCTAAGCCTGCCGCCACCCTTGCTGAACTTGGGTTTCGCACCTCCCGCTCCGACGCCAGCCTTTTCCTCCGCACCTCCCCTTCCCCCTTCTACATCCTTGTGTATGTCGATGACATGATTCTGCTCACCCCCAACCTTGCTAAGTTGGAGCGTGATAAGGCTGAGTTGGGTAGCCGACTCAAATGCAAGGACTTGGGAGAGCTGCAGCATTACCTGGGCATGACCATCACCCGCGACCGCTTCGCCCGCACCATCTCTCTCTCCCAGGGTCATTACTTGCAGCAGGTCTTGGAGCGGTTTGACATGGCCCAGGGCGGTGCTCAACATACTCCTCTTTCTGTCGGGCACCATCTCTCTCCACCCACCTCCCCCTCAACCTCCTCTCATCCTTATCCAGAGCTCATCGGCTCCCTCATGTACGCCATGGTCTCCACTCGTCCTGACCTTGCCTACCCCATCAGCGTCCTTGCCCGTTTTGTTGGCGCAGGCAAGCATACGGAAGAGCACTGGCAGGCCGCCAAGCGTGTCCTCCGGTACCTTCGTGGCACCAAGGACTATGTCCTTACCCTTGGCGGCCCCTCCCCACATCTCCTCAGCGGCTACAGTGACTCCTCCTGGGCTGATTCCCGGCCGGATCGTCGCTCCTCCCAGGGCTATGGCTTCTCTCTTGGCAGCGGCCTTATCAGCTGGCGCTCCACTCGCTCCTCGGCTATCGCCCTCTCCTCCTGCGAGGCGGAGTTGTATGCCGCCACCATGGCTGCGCAAGAGGCCCGCTGGCTCACCTTCCTTCTTGAGGAACTTGGTGCCCCCCAGCGCTGTCCCACCATCTGGTGTGACAATGCCAGTACCATTCACCTCACTAAGGATGCTGTGTTTCACGGGCGCTCCAAGCACATTGAGCTCCGTCATTTCTTCATTCGCGATCTTGTTCAGGCGGTGCACCTTCGGTTCGACAAGGTTGACTCGGCGGCCAACCTTGCCGACATTTTCACAAAAGCTCTTCCTCAAGCGGCTCACTCTTCACTCCTTCGTCTCCTTGGCCTCACTCCTCCAAAGTCGCCGTCCGCCTCTTGATTCTGGCATTCTAGCCTTATGCATGTTGGGGGGTTGTGTTATAATTTCATATTTTATACAACATGCATAGGCTAAAAGTGTAGCACATTTATAAATTGGGGGGCTGCTTAGTGTACCCTCCAACCACATTTTGTGGTTGGTTGGGATTGGTCCTTAGCTCAACCAATCCCAACCAACACACATTTGTGGTTGCTTGGGCCACAAGCAAGCTCACCCATTGGCCAACTTATTGGCCAATAGGGTAAGCTTCCCTCTCATCTCTCTCTTGCTCATTGTTTGTACTAAAAGGCCTCTTGGCTCATTATGTAATGCATCAATTCTCTCTCTTCTAACATGATGTGCCGCCACGCCATCCTTCATCACTGCCACAGCACCGCCACATCGACAGGATGAAGGATGAAGGCCATCCTTCATCTCCTAGTCCCTCCCTCGTGTGGCTAATCAATCAAACCTCACTCTTCTGTTTCTTCTCCCCTTTCCCTCCACCCTTCATCCCCTCTCAGTGGCCACACAGTACTCCTGGAGGCTGACGTGGACATTGCTGCCATCCTCGCCACTCACGGCTTCGCTCCCACCAATCACGCGCTGCCACGCGAGCGTGGCGAGCGTTCGGTTGTTGCGAACAGCAACGAGGCAGCCACTCAGCGAGAGGCACAGGAGGGTGTGATTGGACGAGACGGAGAGGCGGCCCTCATTGGGCGAGAAGGAGAGGAGGTAGCAGGAGGGGAGCCTTCTGCAGCTGTTCCGACCCAGGCGTTGCAGGGAGGTGGGGGAGCTGGGGGGTCTGAAGCTCCTCTGAGAGAGCAGAAGGACTTGCAGGCAGTTGAAGGGCAGAAGATGGGGGATCGTACAGAGGATGGGAGTGGGAGGGGCGAAGGAGACGGTGAGGGGGAGAGACGGCGAGGTGAAGCGAGGAGGAGGAGGAGGAAAAGGAAGAGCGGGAGGCAGCTGAGGGGGAGGGAGCTGGAGCGGCTGTATGAGGAGGTTGGGCGAAGCATGGACACGTGGCGGGTAGGTGGGAGGGAGGGGGGGATGGAAAGGGGTAAATGTAGAGGGGGATAGGTGAAGGGAGGGTGAATGGAAGGCAGGTAGGTGGATGGAAAGCAGTTGAGAGGGAGGGAGCTGTAGCAGCTGTATGAGGAGGTTGGGCGAAGCGGGTGGGTGGAGTGGAAGGGTTGTGGGTAGAAGGGGCTGGGTGGAAAGTGGAAGGGAGGGGGAAAGAACTGGAAAGGGGAAAGCGTTGATACACCAACTAAAAGTGCCCAAATAGCATTCTTGCTGAGCCCACACTCCTCTCTGTACTCACCCGAACGGCCCTCCCATGATCCCATCCCATTGCATGCCCTTCGCTGCTCCAGACGCTGGTGTCGCCACTGGTGGTGGGCGAGGGCAGCCTGCAGCTCGTGCAGCAAGAGGTACAAAATTCCCATTCACAAGCACTGCACTCTGAATAAAACGCACTGCACTCTCAAGAACCTCCTGACTTCCAACATTCTCAGTACACGCACTCCGTGTCCTCGCCTATGAGTCGTTGCTCTCTCCTGTGACTGTTTTTGAGACGTCTCAAAACGACTTTTGAGACGTCTCAAAAGTTGCTCTCTCCTGTGACTGTTTTTGAGACATCTCAAAACGACTTTTGAGACGCCTCAAAAGTTGGTCTCTCCTGTGACTGTCCTTTACCCTTCGCCATGTCATTCCTCCCTTCCAGTCTTCTTTTCTTCCTTCTGTCTCCGCTATCCTCTGGTCTCCGCTATCCTCTGGTCTCCGCTATCCTCTGGTCTCCGCTATCCTCTGGTCTCAGCTATCCTCTGGTCTCCGCTATCCTCTGGTCTCCGCTATCCTCTGGTCTCAGCTATCCTCTGGTCTCAGCTATCCTCTGGTCTCAGCTATCCTCTGGTCTCAGCTATCCTCTGGTCTCCGCTATCCTCTGGTCTCCGCTATCCTCTGGTCTCAGCTATCCTCTGGTCTCCGCTATCCTCTGGTCTCCGCTATCCTCTGGTCTCCGCTATCCTCTGGTCTCCGCTATCCTCTGGTCTCCGCTATCCTCTGGTCTCAGCTATCCTCTGGTCTCCGCTATCCTCTGGTCTCCGCTATCCTCTGGTCTCCGCTATCCTCTGGTCTCCGCTATCCTCTGGTCTCAGCTATCCTCTGGTCTCCGCTATCCTCTGGTCTCCGCTATCCTCTGGTCTCCGCTATCCTCTGGTCTCCGCTATCCTCTGGTCTCAGCTATCCTCTGGTCTCCGCTATCCTCTGGTCTCAGCTATCCTCTGGTCTCCGCTATCCTCTGGTCTCCGCTATCCTCTGGTCTCCGCTATCCTCTGGTCTCAGCTATCCTCTGGTCTCCGCTATCCTCTGGTCTCCGCTATCCTCTGGTCTCCGCTATCCTCTGGTCTCCGCTATCCTCTGGTCTCAGCTATCCTCTGGTCTCCGCTATCCTCTGGTCTCCGCTATCCTCTGGTCTCCGCTATCCTCTGGTCTCCGCTATCCTCTGGTCTCAGCTATCCTCTGGTCTCCGCTATCCTCTGGTCTCAGCTATCCTCTGGTCTCCGGTATCCTCTGGTCTCCGCTATCCTCTGGTCTCCGCTATCCTCTGGTCTCAGCTATCCTCTGGTCTCCGCTATCCTCTGGTCTCAGCTATCCTCTGGTCTCCGCTATCCTCTGGTCTCCGCTATCCTCTGGTCTCAGCTATCCTCTGGTCTCCGCTATCCTCTGGTCTCCGCTATCCTCTGGTCTCCGCTATCCTCTGGTCTCCGCTATCCTCTGGTCTCCGCTATCCTCTGGTCTCCGCTATCCTCTGGTCTCAGCTATCCTCTGGTCTCCGCTATCCTCTGGTCTCCGCTATCCTCTGGTCTCCGCTATCCTCTGGTCTCCGCTATCCTCTGGTCTCAGCTATCCTCTGGTCTCCGCTATCCTCTGGTCTCCGGTATCCTCTGGTCTCCGCTATCCTCTGGTCTCCGCTATCCTCTGGTCTCAGCTATCCTCTGGTCTCCGCTATCCTCTGGTCTCAGCTATCCTCTGGTCTCCGCTATCCTCTGGTCTCCGCTATCCTCTGGTCTCCGGTATCCTCTGGTCTCCGCTATCCTCTGGTCTCCGCTATCCTCTGGTCTCAGCTATCCTCTGGTCTCAGCTATCCTCTGGTCTCCGCTATCCTCTGGTCTCCGCTATCCTCTGGTCTCAGCTATCCTCTGGTCTCCGCTATCCTCTGGTCTCCGCTATCCTCTGGTCTCCGCTATCCTCTGGTCTCCGCTATCCTCTGGTCTCCGCTATCCTCTGGTCTCAGCTATCCTCTGGTCTCCGCTATCCTCTGGTCTCAGCTATCCTTTGGTCTCCGCTATCCTCTGGTCTCAGCTATCCTCTGGTCTCCGCTATCCTCTGGTCTCCGCTATCCTCTGGTCTCCGGTATCCTCTGGTCTCCGCTATCCTCTGGTCTCCGCTATCCTCTGGTCTCCGCTATCCTCTGGTCTCCGCTATCCTCTGGTCTCCGCTATCCTCTGGTCTCCGCTATCCTCTGGTCTCCGCTATCCTCTGGTCTCAGCTATCCTCTGGTCTCAGCTATCCTCTGGTCTCCGCTATCCTCTGGTCTCAGCTATCCTCTGGTCTCCGCTATCCTCTGGTCTCCGCTATCCTCTGGTCTCCGGTATCCTCTGGTCTCCGCTATCCTCTGGTCTCCGCTATCCTCTGGTCTCCGCTATCCTCTGGTCTCCGCTATCCTCTGGTCTCCGCTATCCTCTGGTCTCCGCTATCCTCTGGTCTCCGCTATCCTCTGGTCTCAGCTATCCTCTGGTCTCCGGTATCCTCTGGTCTCCGCTATCCTCTGGTCTCAGCTATCCTCTGGTCTCCGCTATCCTCTGGTCTCCGCTATCCTCTGGTCTCCGGTATCCTCTGGTCTCCGCTATCCTCTGGTCTCCGCTATCCTCTGGTCTCCGCTATCCTCTGGTCTCCGCTATCCTCTGGTCTCCGCTATCCTCTGGTCTCCGCTATCCTCTGGTCTCCGCTATCCTCTGGTCTCAGCTATCCTCTGGTCTCCGCTATCCTCTGGTCTCCGCTATCCTCTGGTCTCAGCTATCCTCTGGTCTCCGCTATCCTCTGGTCTCCGCTATCCTCTGGTCTCAGCTATCCTCTGGTCTCCGCTATCCTCTGGTCTCCGCTATCCTCTGGTCTCAGCTATCCTCTGGTCTCCGCTATCCTCTGGTCTCCGCTATCCTCTGGTCTCCGCTATCCTCTGGTCTCCGCTATCCTCTGGTCTCCGCTATCCTCTGGTCTCCGGTATCCTCTGGTCTCCGCTATCCTCTGGTCTCCGCTATCCTCTGGTCTCAGCTATCCTCTGGTCTCAGCTATCCTCTGGTCTCCGCTATCCTCTGGTCTCAGCTATCCTCTGGTCTCCGCTATCCTCTGGTCTCCGCTATCCTCTGGTCTCCGCTATCCTCTGGTCTCCGCTATCCTCTGGTCTCCGCTATCCTCTGGTCTCCGCTATCCTCTGGTCTCAGCTATCCTCTGGTCTCCGCTATCCTCTGGTCTCAGCTATCCTCTGGTCTCCGCTATCCTCTGGTCTCCGCTATCCTCTGGTCTCCGGTATCCTCTGGTCTCCGCTATCCTCTGGTCTCCGCTATCCTCTGGTCTCCGCTATCCTCTGGTCTCCGCTATCGTCTGGTCTCAGCTATCCTCTGGTCTCCGCTATCCTCTGGTCTCCGCTATCCTCTGGTCTCCGCTATCCTCTGGTCTCCGCTATCCTCTGGTCTCCGCTATCCTCTGGTCTCAGCTCAATTGTGACTTGATTGAAGCGTGCTGTTTGCTGCCTGACGCACGGCATCTACTGATTCGCACTCTCTTACCCGACTCCATTCTCCTTTCTCCTTCCTCCGCTGTCTGTCACCCCCCCTGTGTCCCGCCCTCTCTGTCCCGCCCACTCTGCCCCGCCCTCTCTGCCCCTCCCTCTCTGCCCCTCCCTCTCTGTCCCGCCCTCTCTGCCCCTCCCTCTCTGTCCCTCCCTCTCTGTTCCCACTCTCTCTGCCCCTCCCTCTCTGTCCCGCCCTCTCTGCCCCTCCCTCTCTGCCCCTCCCTCTCTGCCCCTCCCTCTCTTTCCCGCCTCTCTGTCCCGCCCTCTCTGGTCCCACTCCTCTCACCACCAGCTGGCCCAGCAACCCAATCGCAGTGTGCTGTTTGTGGGGAATCACACCATCTACGGCTTCTATGACACGCCCCTGTTGCTCTATGAAGTGAGTGTGTGTGTGACACTACACCTGCTTGCTTCGTGTGGCACTGTGGCGCCTGCTTGCTTGCTATTCCGCTCACCCTCTCTCTCACACCATCTACGGCTTCTATGACACGTCATTGCTGCTCAATGAAATGAGTGTGTGTGTGACACTACACCTGCTGCTGCTGCATCAAGTGAGAGTGTGCGGGAGTAGACCATGCGGGAGTAGACCGTGCGGGAGGAATGTCAGGCTGCCAATTTTGTTGCCATGCTACATGTGTTCAATTTAGGCATGAACGAAACAGATCAGGTCAGGTCGAGTCAGGTCGAATCACCCGACCCAGGGTTTTGGCTGGGTCGGGTCGCTTCTCCAGTGGGCTTGACCCGTCCAGCTCGACCCAACCCGACCCGACCCGACCCGACCCAACCCGACCCGACCCGACCCGACCTGACCCGACCCCCCACGGGTAAGGATTCACCAAGCCGGTTGCCGACTTTTGCCCAAGCGAGGGCAAAGCTAATCTCCTCAACAATCCTCTCCTCTCCTCTCCTCTCCTCTCCTCTCCTCTCCTCTCCTCTCCTCTCCTCTTCTCCCTTTACTTCTCCCCTCTTCTACCCTTTTCCCCTTACCTCACCTCCCCTCCCTCTCCTCCCTGCGTAGCTGTACATGCGATGCGGGGATTTATGTGCCCTACTCCCCCCGTCTCCCCTCCCTCCCTTCTCCTCCTCCACTCCCCTCCCTCCCTGCGCAGCTGTACATGAGGGGATTCAAGTGTCGCTGTCTTGCGCACCCCAGCTTCTGGCTCCAGGAATCTCTGGCAGAGCTTGTGGAAAGGTAAGCCTAGATGCTGTCAGGTTCACTGCGGTGCAGTCAGGTGCTGCTTCCATCGCTGTCTCGCTGGTCCCAGCTTCTGGCTCCAGGATTCTCTGGCAGAGCTCGTGGAAAGGTGAGGTGGGTTGTGGTGCTGCTTCAAGTGAGGTGGGTTGTGGTGCTGCTTCAAGTGAGGTGGGTTGTGGTGCTGCTTCAAGTGAGGTGGGTTGTGGTGCTGCTTCAAGTGAGGTGGGTTGTGGTGCTGCTTCAAGTGAGGTGGGTTGTGGTGCTGCTTCAAGTGAGGTGGGTTGTGGTGCTGCTTCAAGTGAGGTGGGTTGTGGTGCTGCTTCAAGTGAGGTGGGTTGTGGTGCTGCTTCAAGTGAGGTGGGTTGTGGTGCTGCTTCAAGTGAGGTGGGTTGTGGTGCTGCTTCAAGTGAGGTGGGTTGTGGTGCTGCTTCAAGTGAGGTGGGTTGTGGTGCTGCTTCAAGTGAGGTGGGTTGTGGTGCTGCTTCAAGTGAGGTGGGTTGTGGTGCTGCTTCAAGTGAGGTGGGTTGTGGTGCTGCTTCAAGTGAGGTGGGTTGTGGTGCTGCTTCAAGTGAGGTGGGTTGTGGTGCTGCTTCAAGTGAGGTGGGTTGTGGTGCTGCTTCAAGTGAGGTGTGTTGTGGTGCTGCTTCAAGTGAGGTGGGTTGTGGTGCTGCTTCAAGTGAGGTGGGTTGTGGTGCTGCTTCAAGTGAGGTGGGTTGTGGTGCTGGTGAAATGGTGGGCTCGGGGCGTTTTGTGGGAGGGTCTTTCAGTTACGCAACTGAGAAACATGTGTCCAGGGGTATTTAAGTTGGTGAGGTGAAGTGAGGTGAGGTGAGGTGAGGTGAGGTGAGGTGAGGTGAGGTGAGGTGAGGTGAGGTGAGGTGAGGTGAGGTGAGTGAGGTGAGGTGAGGAGAGGTGAGGCGAGGTCTGGAAAGGTGAGGCGAGGTGTGGAAAACTGAGGCGAGGTAAGGTGATGTGTTACGTGAGGAGATACCATCCGTACCACACATGCCATCTCTTCCCAACCCTGCCATCTCTTCCCAACCCTGCCATCTCTTCCCAACCATGCCATCTCATCCCACCATGCCATCCCATCTCCACTCGCTTGCAGCTTTGGTCATGTGAAGGCGTCGCCCCGTGCCTTATACGAGCTGCTCAAAGTACGTTGTTGCTCATCACAGTGTTGCTCATCACAGTGTTGCTCATCACAGTGTTGCTCATCACAGTGTTGCTCATCACAGTGTTGCTCATCACAGTGTTGCTCATCACAGTGTTGCTCATCACAGTGTTGCTCATCACAGTGTTGCTCATCACAGTGTTGCTCATCGCAGTGTTGCTCATCACAGTGTTGCTCATCACAGTGTTGCTCATCGCAGTGTTGCTCATCACAGTGTTGCTCATCACAGTGTTGCTCATCACAGTGTTGCTCATCACAGTGTTGCTCATCACAGTGTTGCTCATCACAGTGTTGCTCATCACAGTGTTGCTCATCACAGTGTTGCTCATCACAGTGTTGCTCATCACAGTGTTGCTCATCACAGTGTTGCTCATCACAGTGTTGCTCATCACAGTGTTGCTCATCACAGTGTTGCTCATCACAGTGTTGCTCATCACAGTGTTGCTCATCACAGTGTTGCTCATCACAGTGTTGCTCATCACAGTGTTGCTCATCACAGTGTTGCTCATCACAGTGTTGCTCATCACAGTGTTGCTCATCACAGTGTTGCTCATCACAGTGTTGCTCATCACAGTGTTGCTCTTCACAGTGTTGCTCATCACAGTGTTGCTCATCACAGTGTTGCTCATCACAGTGTTGCTCTTCACAGTGTTGCTCATCACAGTGTTGCTCATCACAGTGTTGCTCATCACAGTGTTGCTCATCACAGTGTTGCTCTTCACAGTGTTGCTCTTCACAGTGTTGCTCATCACAGTGTTGCTCATCACAGTGTTGCTCATCACAGTGTTGCTCATCACAGTGTTGCTCATCACAGTGTTGCTCATCACAGTGTTGCTCATCACAGTGTTGCTCATCACAGTGTTGCTCTTCACAGTGTTGCTCTTCACAGTGTTGCTCATCACAGTGTTGCTCATCACAGTGTTGCTCATCACAGTGTTGCTCATCACAGTGTTGCTCATCACAGTATTGCTCATCACAGTGTTGCTCTTCACAGTGTTGCTCATCACAGTGTTGCTCATCACAGTGTTGCTCATCACAGTGTTGCTCTTCACAGTGTTGCTCTTCACAGTGTTGCTCTTCACAGTGTTGCTCTTGACTCTTGAGGCGCCCCAAAATTCATCTCGAAAGTAACTTGTCATTCTTCATATTTTGCTCTTGATGCACCCCAAAGGTAATTTGTTGCCCTTACTAGTGTGCTCAAGCTGACTATTTTTGGGGCGCCTCGAAAAAATGTTCCGCTAAGTGACCTGCGCATAGCAAATTTGCGTTCCGCCGTGAGGCCTTTGTCAGCACCGTAGGATTACAGAATGAAAGACTACATTGTGGGTCGGGTCGGAATCCAGTCGAGTCCATAGAGATCGTATGTTCTGGCTCGACTGTTTTTTAGTCGACTCAATAATCCTGTCAAGTCGATAGAGATCGTACGTTCTGGACTGTGCTCTTTAGTAAACTCAAGGACTCGACCGTGTCCGCGCTGCTGTTTCCACCCCCCACCTCCCGCCTCAGCAGTGTTTGTCCCCTCAGCAGTGTTTGTCCCCTCAACAGTCTTTGTCCCCTCAGCAGTGTTTGTCTCCTCAACAGTCTTTGTCCCCTCAACTCTCTCCTCCCCCTCCGCCACGCACTGCCATGTGCCTCGTTGGGACCCACCCCATCAGGCGGGCAGGCACGTGCTCGTGTAGCCAGGAGGTTCTTACTCGACTCGAAACACAACCCCGCATCTTCTTCCTTCCCCTCGCCACCCACTCCCATGTGCCTCATCGCCTTATCACCCATTCCCATGTGCCTTATTGGGACCCTCACTCACCTGTCAGGAGGGAGGGCCTGTGCTGGTGTTCCCTGGGGACTCCAAAGAAACATGCCCCACTCCCACCCTCCTACCTCACTGCACTTCCCCTCTCACATTCTCCTTCCCCTTGCCACTCACTCCCATGTGCCTCTTTGTGGTCCTGTCAGGAGGGAGGGCCCGCGCTAGTGTTCCCTGGGGGCTCCAAAGAGACGTGCCGCCTCAAGGTGCGGGAGGGAAGAGGGACGGGGAAGGGAGGTGCAGGGAGGGAAGAAAAGATGGAGGAGGAAAGGAAGGAGAGAGGAGAAGAGATGGGGGAGGGAAGGGAGGTTAGGGGAAGGAGGGGAGGGGAGGGGAGGGTAGGAGGTGAGGAGAGGGGAGGGAGGGAGGTGAGGGGAGGGGAGAAGGGAAGCAGGATGAGGAGAAGCTAGAAGAAGAGTGGTGGGGAGTCTGTCACGGTGGCTTCATGGTTGGGGGGGTCAGGCCTAGCACAAGCATGAGATTAATCTCCCTCCTTTCATTTGAAGGTTGTTCTATTCTGAATTACCTGCTTGCACCCGTTTGCCTGAGCTAATGGCACGAGGGATGAATGACAGAGTAGAAAAGGGTTTCAAACCGCAGCTGAATCACCCACGGCTTGCTGAGGCTCGAACCTTTTTTCTACTCTCCATGGCATGAGGGATGAATGACAGAGGCGCATCCAGGCAGGGCCAAGAGGATGGCGCCGAGTTGAAAGGGTTCGAACCGCAGCAAGCTTGACTGAGAGGCAGAGGCTGCGTCTGATGACAGAGGCGCATCCAGGCAGGGCCAAGCGGATGGCGCCGCCACAACCGCCAACACCCTCTCTTCATTCCTCCATCCCCTTTCTCCATCCCGTCGAGGCAGGGTGAGAGGTATCAGCTGAGGTGGGGAATTGGCGAGGGCAACAGAGGCAGCAGCGGCGGCAGTGGCGACGGTGGCATGATGCGCATGGCAGCGAAGCTCAACGCCATCATTGTGCCCTTCGCCATGGTCGGCGCTGACGACGCGTGAGTGTAGAGAGTCACTGGAGGCACAGAGGCACAGGAGGCTCTCGGGTTGTGCCCTAGTGGGACCAGAGGCACAGGAGGCACTGGGGATGGTGGCAGCGAAGCTCAACACCATCATTCATTGTGCCCTTTGCCATGGTCGGCGCTGATGATGCGTGAGTCCCACCACCATTGGCTTACCTGTGCTCCCAACTCCATCTCCGGCTCTCCTCCTCCTCCTGCTCTCCTCGACGCCATCATTGTGCCCTTTGCCATGGTTGGCGCTGACGACGCGTGAGTCTAGACAGTCTCGACTTAACCGATCAGCTGTGGCCCTCAACACATTGTCGCCTTTCCTCCTCCTCCTCCTCTCCTCAACACCATCATTGTGCCCTTTGCCATGGTCGCCACTGATGACGCGAGAGTTGAGAGAGTCTCTCAGTCGCATGTGTGTGCCATGTGATAGATAAACGCGGCTTCTTTCCCTTTCGTTGCAGGTGTTTTTTTTTAATTCTAAAAAAGTCTCTCAGTCGCATGAGTGTGCCGAGTGATGAATGCACTTCCTTGCCTCTCCCTATTTTCACTCTGCAGCCGTCATTTCCCCACCCCCCTCTCCCCATCCGCTCTCCCCCCTCCCTTCTTACCCCCTTTTTTTCTCCACTTCTGTATCCCCCACTCACCTTCTTCCTCCACCCATCCATCCAGCCCATCCATCCCACCAGCTTTGACATCGCAATGCAAACCCCTCTGCTCCTTGTATGGATTCACTTTTGAGCCCGACTCAAAACGAGTTGACTTTTGAGCCGACTCAAAACGAGTTGACTTTTGAGCCGACTAAAAACGAGTTGACTTTTGAGCCGACTCAAAATGAGTTGACTTTTGAGCCAACTCAAAACGAGTTGACTTTTGAGCCGACTCAAAACGAGTTGACTTTTGAGCCGACTCAAAACGAGTTGACTTTTGAGCCGACTCAAAACGAGTTGACTTTTGAGCCGATCAAAACGAGTTGACTTTTGAGCCGACTCAAAACTAGTTGACTTTTGAGGCAACTCAAAACGAGTTGACTTTTGAGCCGACTCAAAACTAGTTGACTTTTGAGGCAACTCAAAACGAGTTGACTTTTCAGCCGATCACAACGAGTTGACTTTTGAGCCGACTCAAAACGAGTTGACTTTTGAGCCGACTCGAAACGAGTTGACTCAGAAGTCAACCCAGCTTTGACATTGCAAGCCCCTCCGCTCCTTGAATGGATCGTTCAGCCTTGACCCGACCCCCATCCTCTCCCCTCTCTTACCCCCTCTTTCCGCCCTCCCCTCCCCTTCTCATCCATCCCCATCCCCCCATCCACCTCCCACCAGCTTTGACTTTGCTCTAGACCGAACGGACGTGCTGGCCTCCCCTTTGGGAAAGCCTTTCCGCTCCTTGTATTTGTATGAATCACTCAGCCTTGAAACCTTCCCTCCCCGCCACTCCCCCGTGCCCCTTCTCATCCATCCCCCCATCCACCTCCCACCAGATTTGACATTGCTCTAGACCGAAACGACCTCCTGGCCTCTCCGCTGGGAAAGCCCTTTCACTCCTTGTATGAATCTCTCAGTCTTGACCCTCTCCCTCCCTTCCCTTCGTTCCCTCCTCCCCCAATCCCCTCCCGCTACCAGTTTTGACATTGCTCTAGATCGGAACGACCTCCTGGCCTCTCCACTGGGAAAGCCCTTTCGCTCCTTGTATGAATCTCTCAGTCTTGACCCTCTCCCTCCCTTCCCTTCGTTCCCTCCTCCCCCAATCCCCTCCCGCTACCAGTTTTGACATTGCTCTAGATCGGAACGACCTCCTGGCCTCTCCGCTGGGAAAACCCTTTCGCTCCTTGTATGAATCTCTCAGTCTTGACCCTGACACTGACATCAGCCCTGTCACAACCATTCCCGGCACCAACTTCCCCAGGTGAGATTCAGTGGGATGTGGTGGGGTGGAATGGGATGGGATGGGATGGGATGGGATGGGATGGGATGGGATGGGATGGGATGGGATGGGATGGGATGAGATGGGTTGGGATGGGATGGGATGGGATGAGATGAGATGAGTTGAGATGAGATGAGATGAGATGAGATGAGATGAGATGAGATGAGATGAGATGAGATGAAATGAGATGAGATGAGATGAGATGAGATGAGATGAGATGAAATGAGTTGAGCTGTCGTGAGGTGAGATGACCTTACTCGGCTACTCTCCTCTGACCCCCACCCCCTTCTCCAAATACCTGCCATCCCACCACCAGTCTAATTCCCCTTCCCAGTCGCCTGGAGAGAGTGTATTTTTATTTCAGCACACCTATTGACTTCAAGGACCTTCCACCTTCTGCGTTACAGGTGTGATTGTCGTGCAACATGGCATCATCATGGCATCATCATGGCATCATCATGGCGTCATCATGACAGCATCATGGCATCGTCATGGCACCATTGTTGCATCATGCCTCTTATTGTTGCATCATGCCATCATTGTTGCATCATGCCATCATCACAGCATGCCGTCTTCATTGCATCATGCATGTGGCCCATCACATGCTATGTATGCCTTGACTGATCCCCATCCATCCATCGTTAATTTGCCCATCCACCTCAAGTTCTTGCACAATCACAGCGCAGTGCAGTTTGCATCAAACTCTCTGCTTGAGTTTGTGTGCTGGCATGTGTGCTTGTCTCGGCCCATATTACTGTCGACAACTTGTTTTAATCTCCTACTCTTACCTTCCCTCGTCTTCTGCTCCCCTTTCTCCTTCTCCCCTTTTTTCTCCCTCCCCTCCGTTTTCCCTCCCCCTCCTTTTTTTCCCCGGATATCTGCTTGATTCATGTGTGGCCAATCTAATGATCTGCTGTATCATGCCGTTTCATGTGGGATGTGCCGTTTCATGTGGGATGTGCCGTTTCATGCGGGATGTGCCATTTCATGTGGGATGTGCCGTTTCATGCGGGATGTGCCATTTCATGCGGGATGTGCCGTTTCATGCGGGATGTGCCATTTTATGTGGGATGTGCCATGTCATGCGGGATGTGCCATTTCATGCGGGATGTGCCATTTCATGCGGGATGTGCCATTTCATGCGGGATGTGCCATTTCATGCGGGATGTGCCATTTCATGCGGGATGTGCCATTTCCTGCGGGATGTGCCATTTCATGCGGGATGTGCCATTTCATGCGGGATGTGCCATTTCATGCGGGATGTGCCATTTCATGCGGGATGTGCCTTTTCATGCGGGATGTGCTGCCGCCCTTCCTCTGCCACCAAACCTCTCCCACCGTACTCTCTGCACTGCTTCAAAAACAGGACGGTATGCACCTTGTTTTGAGTTGCACCTTCTCACGCGCATCTTGGTTTCACCTTCTCACGCGCATCTTGGTTTCACCTTCTCATTCACTCGGCCCCTTTTTCCCTGTCTGTCGTGTCGTGTCCCTGTAACTTGCTTCCTTCCCCGTTCAGCTTCTCGCTCAAAGCTTTTCAATTCATGCCTGCATGTGTGTGCATGTGCATGTGCATGTGCATGTATGCATGATCCAGGCATGGTGCGGCATGCAGTGGAGGAGGGTATCAACCATCTGCTGGCGTTGAGAGAGACCGACCCGGTAAGCTGGGTCCTGGTAAGCTGGGACTCAGTAAGCTGGCGTAGTTTTTTAGACATAGAAGTGGAGGAGGGAACCAGGCACCTGCTAGCACTGAGAGAGACCGACCCGGTGAGTTGAGAGAGATAGGCACGTCGAAAGCGTGTGCACAGGCATTCAGGGCGCAATGAACCCCATGATTCACAGCAGCTGCTCAATCTCACATGGGACCCAGTCCAAATGGGAGCCAGCCCCCACTACCCACTCTTCCATTAAGTGTTTCTCCACTCCTCTTCCTGCCGATCCTGTGCCTGGATTGACTGCTGTCTGTCGCTCCGTGGGCCCTCCCTCAATGCAGGAGCGAGAGCTGCTCACCCGCTTGACCTCCAAGGTGCAACGCTTGCAGCCCGAATTCTCCCGAAATTGACTCCAGCTGAGCAAAGCTGCAACATGGGTTCTGACATTCGACGTGTTATAAAACTTACTTTGTGCAAATGACTTTGCCAAATGATTACGCACTGAAGCCTTCTGCATTTATAGAATCATGGTCCAGTTGCTTCATGGTCCATGGGGAAGGGCAGGGTACTCTACATCTGTTCTGCTGTGGTTGTTCATAGAACGGTGGTTCACGTTTCCAAATTGCTGTGTAAATATTCTTGGTGCAAATGAACTGTGTCAAAAAATCCTTTTCCAAGTCACAAGTTTTTTTCTCTGGAATTTGCATGCTAGCCAGTCCCCGAGGTCCTCATTTCTACAACCTATACTCAGACGTACCTCTGATCAAACTGAAGTCTGGTACCATAAGAAGTTTGCTGTATGCTACTGTACATCGTTTGTCATATTTATGGGACTGGTATACAAACAGTCCCCCAGATTGGGTTGGAGCAGGCTGAAGTGGTCCACCTGGAGTTCTGTTTTCATCACCACCTCAGCTCAGAGTTCCATCTGGCAATTATCAGTAACTAACCATGTAGGCCACTACCAGTATTGTTATGCTGACTCGCATCCTGGCCTCAAATTGTTGGAAACTCCAGAAATGGATGTCATAATCTTGGAGAGTTGGAAAGGTGTCTGGGTAGTTAGGTTTCTGTTTTGCCTATCTGAGAATGCTTCCCCCCAAAAAAAACTGGAATTCTGTAAAGCAGGCTCAATACTGAAAATGCATAGCCTTTGAACCTAAAACCAGGGAAACGCCAAACCTGTTCTCGTTATTCCAACTCTTGTAAGGTGCACTGCCCCAAGACTATATGCCTTAGGTGTTCGAGTTTACGTGTAACAGCCAGCCCAGAGTGAACGAAGCTGGAGGCGTGGAACGACAAGAAGAGAGGAGAGGGGAGTTAAAGAGAAGCTTGCAATTGCAGGGAAAATACGCTGATGGTAGAGAAAGAATCAGCGGGATGGAGGGAGCAAGAAGAGGAGACATGGCATGCGTTGGGATGGGCGGCATGAGATAGCATGAGAGGTATTAGGGCATCAGGTAGGACGGGTGGCATGAGGTAGGATGGGTGACATGAGAAAGGATCAATGGGAAGATGACATGAGCTGGCATAGATGACATGAGCTACCACAGACACATGAGCTAGCATATAGGGCATGAGCTAGCATAGATGGCATGAGCTGGCATAGCATGAGCTAACATAGATGGCATGAGCTAGCATAGATGACATGAGCTAGCATAGATGGCATGAGCTAGCATAGATGACATGATGGCATGAGCTGTCATAGATGGCATGAGCTAGCATAGATGGCATGAGCTAGCATAGATGGCATGAGCTAGCATGGATGACATGAGCTAGCATGGATGACATGAGCTACCATGGATGACATGAGCTAACATGGATGGACGGCATGGGTTGGAAGGAATGCCACAAGATTTTATGGATGGCATAAAATAGGACGGTTGGGATGGGAAAACCATGCGTGCTGTTGACTAAACAAGGGCCTGTTCCATCTAATAGGTTCCATCGTGTCTTCCCTCTTTGTATGCCCCTTTCCAATTTATTCACCTCATTTTTCTGTCATTCGAAAAAACTTGCATGACTTGAGTCTCAAATGTACTACTCCTCATTACTCCTCTCTTTCCTTGTCTCGCCACTCACACCACTCCCGTTCTCTCCAAAACACGCTCACCATTTGGTTTTCTTTTATCATCTTCTCCCTTTTTTTCGCATTCCCTCTCATTTTCCCCCATCCTGGCTATCCCAACACCTGACTCCTGTTCTATTAGCAGCAATTTTCTTCAGTTGGACTCTTCAGCCATCTCCCCGCTCCCTTTCAGTCATCCTTCCCCTCCCTTTCAGCCATCTCCCCCCTCCGTTCCAGCTGGCTCTGGAACTTCCAGCTGGCTTGAGCTGGTAATCCGCACATGAAAAGGGACACGCCAGCAAATACACAAAAGACAATGCTGCCCTGCAGCCCTCCGGATTCCAACTCCCACTGCCTTGTTACCACTCCCACTGCCTTGTTACCACCCCCACTGCCTTGTTACCAATCCCATTGCCTTGTTACCACTCCCACTGCCTTGTTACCAATCCCATTGCCTTGTTACGACTCCCACTGCCTTGTTATCACTCCCACTGACTTGTTACCACTCCCACTGCCTTGTTACCACCCCCACTGCCTTGTTACCAATCACATTGCCTTGTTACCACTCCCACTGCCTTTTTACCACTCCCACTGTCTTGTTACCACTCCCAATGTCTTGTTACCACTCCCACTGCCTTGTTACCTATCCCATTGCCTTGTTACCACTCCCACTGCCTTGTTACCACTCCCACTGCCTTGTTGCCAATCACATTGCCTTGTTACCACTCCCACTGTCTTGTTAGAAAACGAACAAGCAAACAAGCACTTGATCCTACAGGCCTAGAGGGCTATGTACAAGATAGGGTTTGCTCTTAGACCTGAGGAACCTGGGGTAATGTGCTCCGAATTGCTGTACCTGCTCGCCAGGCAACACCCAACATACATTTGCTGACAAACAGTCCCTAGCCCATGTATGTGCGGGATTTCTGGTTTCTCCCCTTTTCACAGCAGGCAAGCTGTTCCTTGGCTTCAGCATTTGTTGCTTTGGTGACTCCCCTCCAGCCTGTTCCCTGCCATGTCTCGCTTGCATGCCTTGTTGTACTCCCCATCTTCTGCTCGCCTAGTCCACGCTTTGTTCTCGTCCCTTGCACAAGAACCTCCTGCTCCGGCCTAGCCATCAATACTCCGAAGCTCCCATCCATCCTCGCTTGCTGCATTTTGTTTCGTTCCACGAGCCTCCCACTCTTGTATCACAATGACGTGGACCAGCAACATCAGCAGCACATGATGCAAGACTTCATTCCACCTATTCTGCTGGGCAAGCAACTTCCATCTGCTCACGGTACTACGTGTCAATACTTAGGCAAGGGTGATTCAACTATCGAGAGAAATTTTACAAGTAGGAAAACCCTAAGGGGTTATACCCCACATCATCTACCCCACTACAGCATACCAATAACTACAATATATGACATATATATGTTTGACACACCCCCATAGGCAAAGTGGGGGAGAGCAAGAGGTCACAAGACCAGTCAAGAGAAGCAAAGCAAGCTCAGGGTGGATCACAACGTCACCACACATTCTGAGCACAAGCAAAGAGCCATACGGCCAGTCCACACGCAGAGGTATATATGCAGCAAGAACAGTACAGTGATCACTACCTAGCAAGAGCAAGCATGCAGGTATATATATAGAGAGATCACAGTACAAGCAGAGTCTACAGCAAGTGTGGAAACTTAGGCACAAG